GGATAATATAATTGACATTGCTGGATTCCTTGTAAGACCAGGAATATTTTGAATATAAACGTCATATATATTGCACAAAAGATAACATACTTACTCAGAGTGAACATTATATCTAAAAATTTTATGTCTAATGCAAAATATATGATGTTTATATTCAAAATGATCATCAAATTGTAAGAATTCCAGCAATGTAAATTATATTCTGGCCAGGTAATTTGTATGAATTTTATGAGCTAAAATAAAAATCTTCAGTTAATAAAAAAAAATATTCTTCACACGGTAACAGATGGTCCGTCGCCGGTCCCTCCCTCCCTCCCCCCCACCCCCCACCAACGTCCCTACTAGGTAAATGTGTGGGAATACCAGACTGTTTACCTTTTTAGTAATAAATAATAAATCAGACTAAAGTTATGATAATATAATTGACATTGCTGGATTCCTTGTAAGACCAGGAATATTTTGAATATAAATATCATATATTTTGCACAAAAAATAACATATTTACTCAAGAGTAAACATTATATCTAAAATTTGTATGTCTAATGCAAAATCTATGATGTTTATATTCAAAATGATCATCAAATTGTAAGAATACCAGCAATGTAAATTATATTCTGGCCGGATAATTTGTATGAATTTTATGAGCTAAATAAAAAAATTATACTTCACCCGTGTAAAGGGGTACACCCACCGCGGAAAGTGAGCATCCTGGGTTCTGGCAGGGCACCGCGTAAACGTGGAAACGCGGAATGTGGGACCGCGTAAAGTGAGGGTTGACTGTAGTTTGTTTTCATTTTGAACTGTGATTATGATTGTATTTTCAACAGCATAAGGATGACCTTACTGGGTGCAGTTGCCCAGTCAGGTTGCTTCTTTAGACAGGCTATGTTTAGGGCACCTTTTCTAGGCCCTTCCCCATATGGGGTGAGCAGAGTGGCTCCTCGAAAGGGCTGCTCAGTCGCACAGACAGGACCAGATTGCACTGCTGCCAAGATCCCAATGCATAAACTGCCATCTTATCTATGCCACCCATGTGCAGAGTTGTGACTAGAAACTCCCGGCAGTCATCTCTGCTTGTCCCCATCGCTACTCGTCCGTCGCCAAAGGAGTTTTTGGGGCAGAGGTGTCTTGATGATGATGAGAAGTATGATGAGTTTGATGATCGCTGCGAGTAAGTTGATTTACGTGGTGAGGCAGGAGCATAGGCTGCAACCACACATCTTGACACATCTTGACTCTTCCTTTTCCTGATTCATTGGTGCAAGTGTTGTAACGACTTGGGGGATAGAGAGAGAGTTGCAATGGAATGCCGATACCCAGTTTGTTGGGCTAGCCTGTACATCATTCATTGCCTTCGTCTGCCGGTGTACTGTAGTCTTCGGGTTTCCATGTTGGTCACCTCTTACCCTATACTGCTGTTGGGGTCTTACTGAAGCTCTGTAAGCATGTTTGTCTGATGCGGTGCTTCTCCGCAGATTTTTCATTCAAAGTTTACTCCTGTAGCCTTATACCTACCAAGGTTAATCCGCAAGGCAGCAGGGCAGTGGTTGGTAGGCACCAAGACGTGTCCACATGCTAGTAGGCCTATGCGCCGTCCTTCTGGGGCCCACTACTGCTCTGAGATCTCCTGCTGGTCTAGCCTAGGTCCACGAGGCACCCAGTTAACGTGTATTGTCACGAGGAGGCACAGCAGGAGTCTTGATGGTGAAGAGGCTGTGTACTGGTAGGACAGAATTTATGCAATTTACTTCCCTCTTCACCACGAGGGCTAGCCAGTGGCGGTAGCTGATTGCGAGAGGAAGCAAGCAGTGCTTGCACCTTAACACTAATATACTGCTGCCACACTAGATGCATTACACCACCCTTGCACACACACACACACACACACACAAACACACGGGAATTAAGACAACACGCATCTCTCTAATCACCCACACTATTCTGCCTTTTCACTCCATATTTTAAAATGTTATATAAACTAATGTTGAAGAGATACAACTCTGCTCATTTATACTTATACTTATCACAATCTCCATAAAAATACTTTATCTTTTGTATTTATTCAAGACATCTTCAGGTCATTAGACTCACTCATCCCCCACCCAAGAAAGGGTGACCTGACATTTCATCCCTGTAAGTTCAGTTGCCTCTGAAAATGTCCTGAATATAGACAAAAGCTAAGGTGGTTGACCGAGAGCTTGATTTGCTGTAAATTTTGATTTAGCGAACAGAGGTGATTCGAATTACAGTAGTTCGTTAAATCGAGAACTTACTGTACTTTATCTAAAGGTTCGGTAAAATAAATATATTTTTTGAACAAAAAAAGATCTATATGATATGGGCAGGAATGGAGCTGTGTTACAGCAAAGACAAGTGATATTTTCCAAGCTTCACTGGAAAATTTCCAGGATCTTTACTTATTTACACAAACACCATTGTACAAGGTACAATATTTTTCATGCTGTAAACAAAATAATGTATATTACTGTACTACAGTTGTACCCCACTTAACGCGGTCAATAGAACCCAGAGGGTCCCGTGTTAAGTGAAATCCGCGTTAAGTGAACAACAGAACATATGGGATTAATTCCAATAGAAACCGGCCCGACCCCCAAACTCCACTTTTTGAAGACACATAACTATGTTGTAGTAAAAATGACATCTTAATTTTATGATGGTACATGCACACAATTAATACTTAAGAGAAATAGAGAAATACAGTCGCCAAGTTAATGTCCATTCAAATAATGGACTCAACTCCCTCCCCCTCTCACACTACACTGCCGGCTCTTCCCTCTCTGAGAAATTTTTGGGGGAAAACCACTAAATTTTAATAAATAATACCTCAAACTAAAGTTAGGATAATACAATTGACATTGCTGGATTCCTTGTAAGACCAGGAATATTTTGAATATAAATGTCATATATTTTGCACAAAAGATAACATACTTACTCATATTAAAAATTTTATCTAAAATTTGTATGTCTAATGCAAAATATATGATGTTTATATTCAAAATGATCACCAAATTATAAGAATTCCAGCAATGTAAATTATATTCTGACCGGGTAATTTGTATGAATTTTATGAGCTAAAACAAATATCTTCAGTTAATAAAAAAAAAAATAATCTTCAGGACACTATCTGTCAATCAAAGTACCCCACCTTGCCTCCCCCCCCTCGTCCAACCGTGCGGTCAGTCCCAACCCTCCCCCCACCCCCCACCAATCGTCCCTTCAAGAGATGTGGGGTGAAAAAAATAAATTTTAACATTTTGTATTAAATAATACCTCAGATTAAAGTTAGGATAATATAATTGACATTGCTGGATTCCTTGTAAGACCAGGAATATTTTGAATATAAATGTCATATATTTTGCACAAAAGATAACATACTTACTCAGATTAAAAATTTTATCTAAAATTTGTATGTCTAATGCAAAATATATGATGTTTATATTCAAAATGATCATCAAATTATAAGAATTCCAGCAATGTAAATTATATTCTGACCGGGTAATTTGTATGAATTTTATGAGCTAAAACAAATATCTTCAGTTAATAAAAAAAAAAAATATTCTTCACAGGGTAACAGATGGTCGGTCGGTCCCTCCCTCCCCCCACCCCCCACCAACCGTCCCAAGGAGATGTGTGGGAAAACCAGAATACTTAACTTTTTTGTAATAAATAATACCTCAAACTAAAGTTAGGATAATATAATTGACATTGCTGGATTCCTTGTAAGACCAGGAATATTTTGAATATAAATGTCATATATTTTGCACAAAAGATAACATATTTACTCAAGAGTAAACATTTTATCTAAAATTTGTATGTCTAATGCAAAATATATGATGTTTATATTCAAAATGATCACCAAATTATAAGAATTCCAGCAATGTAAATTATATTCTGGCCGGGTAATTTGTATGAATTTTATGAGCTAAAACAGGCAATCAGGCAGGGTGGCGGGTGGGGCAAATCTAAAAATAGCGTCTGGAGCCGGACACTCACCGCGTATATGTGGAAAAAATCCGTGTTAAGTGAAAGTTCAGCTCTGGCGAGGCACCGCGTATATGATAAAACGCATTAAGTGAAACCGCGTTAGGCGGGGTAATACTGTACTATACTGTATATACGTACTGTACTCACCAGCAGACACAGTTCACATAGCTGATTGTAATGCTTAACTGTAATCATGTCTTAACACTTGTGATGAAGGTTGGGTGGGAAATTATTGGGTGATGAAACTGACCTGACCTAAAACAATATCAGGTCACCCATTGTCAGGGTGGGGGATTAGTGGATGATCTGAAGAGATGAAAGGTAAGGTGTTCCAATGTTCCCACTTACTGAATGTACAGTATAGTATATGTAACTGTAATCACTTTTTACACTCTTAACACTGCTTTAACACTGTATTCTTGGCTGATTTTGTTGTGGTACAGTAATGTACAACACTGCACAACACAAATTGTACACAAAAACAGCAGCCAGTCAGGTAACAACCTTCTACAATGGCTGCAGAATATGAACTAAGCTATCCAAGCTGCTGGGCCACCCACTCACCTGGCATGTGGGGCTGGGTTGAAACATGATCCAATCTTTTGGAATGCCCTGAAGATTTATTCCCAGACCCAGAAATAAAACCATGTTGAGATTTTCAGAAATTTTCTTGGAATTTTCAGAAAATGCACCTGATTTTCACTCCCGGAATGTGTTCCAAAACCCGGAATTGAGAGAATTTTCTGGTAAAATTCTAAGCAAATTTTAGTTCCAGCTATTGGAGAGTTCCGGGTTTGAGGGATTCTGGCTAACGGAGATATTACTTTGAGAAAATGATTTATGAAATAAGGAAAGAGATATCACCAATGTTACCAAAATAAAATAAAGTGGTAACAACCAAATTTTAAAAGTTTGCCCTCTTACAGCTACCTTACCAGATGTTTGATATGAAGTGTGTGGAAAGATAATGGAATGTTTATAAATGTTGTTTTCAGCATGTGTGGGAAGATGGCAGAGCATGCAGCAAACCAGCGTGACTATGAACAAGCCATCAAACTTTATAAGGAGGCTCTCCAGTATGACCCAGAACATGCTCCCACCCTCCTGGCACTGGCAAAGTTATATATGCAGGTATGTCTTCTGGAGTGTGCCTTTTAGTACTTTAATGTTTGTAACGATTTCAGTGCAGGTAAACCTCTATTTCCGATATCCCATTCAATGATAATTCGCATTAACAATGCTGATATATTAGGACCACTCTCCTATTTGCGATGTAAACAAATTCGCATTAACGATATTCGTCATCCTGCCAACTCTGCATATGGAACGCATCACTCCCTATATTTGTCAGCTGAGGCATCATCTACCCTAATGCTGCCTCGTGGCCATCTGATAAACTACAGTCCCGCCATTGTTTCTTCTTGGCTACATGTGTGTAAGAAATGGACCTCAATGTTTATCAGTCATCTTTTTTTTTCTTTTTTTTTACAGATTTTTTTCTTTATACCTTACAGTGAAAGGACATCACTAAAGTTCATATTGTACACTGTTTTGGTGACTTTGAAGTGATTTTTCCAATGTGTTTTGTGACTGAAAAGCAGCAACAACTAGTATACAGTGATATACCCATTAACCAGAACAATTGGTGCAGAGCACTTCCGGTATAAGAGATTTCCGGCTAACAGGACGACTTTCTCAAACCCGGAAAATCCCCCATCCCCGGAAATATTTCCGGTTACTGGAAAAAACTTTCTGAGTGTCTAAACTATGCATCTTGCACAGACAAACACTAGCCCACATCCTCAGAATGTTTCTATGTGCTGGGGAGTTTTCCAAGAGTCTAAACTAAAATCTATATGATATGATCGTGAATGAAGCTGTGTGTTACAGACAAGGATTGGTATTTTCTACTCCCTTGGAGCTGTGGGGTATTCGTAGGTCTTGTGTAACTGTCCTGACCTGACACGATGCCAGGTGGAAGTAGGGTGGGGTATTAGTGATATATTACTGACCTTCTGATACAAAGTTAGGTCACCCATTGTTGGGTGGGGGATTAGTGAGTCTGAGGACCTGAAGATGTCTTTAATAAACATGAAAGCTAAAATACAGTATTTTTTATACTTATACTTATCGCATTATATCTCTTCAACATTACGTTACATAAGATTTTAAAATGTGGATTGAGAAAGCAGAAAGGTGTGGGTGATAGAGAGATGAAGTGGAAAGGAGTGGTAACATGCACCAGTCTTGTCAAGCGATAAGCTCCTTAATATCTGATCTTTTAATTCACTACCACGTAGTTAACCATGCAGAAATTTATGTCATACAATATAGGAGTGTGTGGGTGGTGTTAAGGTGTATGGGTGTGATGTTGTGGTATTAATTAATAAATAAACAATATTGTATCGTCAATGACAGTCATTTGATGAATAGCAGCGTACTACAATTGTCACTACTATTCATCAAACTACTCTCCTGTTATTAACAATAAAATACAGTAATATCTCCGTTAGCCGGAATCCCTTAAACCCGGAAATCTCCGATAGCGGAATTGAAATTTGCTCGGAAAATCACTCCCGAAGCTGGAATTTTCAAAATATTCCAGCCTTGGGAACAAATTTTCCGAGGTTGAAAATGGAGATAATTTTCTGAAAATGTCGTGAATAAAGATGAAACTTAAAGTTTTTTTTTTTGGGGACCTGACCTAATTGAATGTCAGGTGGAGGTAGGGTGGGGGATTAATGGTCTCATATTACTGACCTTCTGATGCAATGTCAGGTCACCTTTCTTGGCTGGGGAATTAGTGGGTCTCATGACCTGAAGATGTCTTGAATAAACATGAACCTAAAGTAATTTTTGGGAGATTGTGATAAGTATAAGTTTAAATGAGCAAAGTTGTATCCCTTCAACATTACATTACACAACATTTTAAAATATGGACTGAGAAAGCTGAAAGGTGTGGGTGATTAGAGAGATGGAGTGGGAAGGAGTGGTAACATGTACCAGTGTTGCCAAGCGCTAAGCTCCCCAACAGCTGATCTTCTAATTCTCCTCCATGCAGTCATACAACAAGACCTTCACTGGATGCTTGTTGTCTTAATTCCCATGTGTGTGTGTGTGTGTGTGTAGTTGAGTGTGAGTGTGTGTGTGTAAGTTTGTTTGTTTGTGTGTGTAGATGTGTTTGTGTGGTGCAAATTAGTGATGTTTATTCTCAAATTAATCCCTGTCTTACAAGAATTCCAGTAATGCGAGTTATATTCTCTTAAGTCAAGTCGGTGAAATTTTAGAAGCGTTAATCCGTCTTTTCCGTTGAAGTTGAAGGATCCAATGGGAGGAGGGGGGTAAAAGTGACCACGCCAACCCCCTCCCCCTCAAGGGTCGTCTCACTTTTTGTCGAAAGTACAGACTCATTCATGATACAGTAATGTTTATTTGTTTTTCATTAATTAGTACAGATACATTACTGTAATAATCTGTGCTTATTAATACATATACCCTTCATATACAATACAGTAAAGTACTATGTATATACCTCATAGGTAAAAAATAATGTCAATCAAGACATGAAGTCATAAGGGTATTATTTTCTTGTAGCTCCGTTCATTCCTACCACTAAACTATTATCATATTCGAATAAGACTTCTAATTATAAGATAATTTTCATCTATTACATTACCGCCGGAAATGTATAAAAACGGAGATAGCTTTTCCAAATAAATTTCTATTTTCTTCCATTATTTCCCGCCATTTTCGTCTGCCTCTCACCTAACACTGCGTGTCTCTCGCGTCTCCTTCATAAATCATGACGCGCATGCGTACCCGTACACGTCACGCGGCCAATCAAAAGCATTTTTGCTATAATTCAGAGTATATTTGGCCCAATCAAAATCGAGTTTTATTTTGGGTCTCATATTTTGAAATTCAAGTTCAGTTCTGACCATGGAAGTCTGCAATGGATGTCACTTAAAGTATATGGAGCTGATTGCGAGTTTTTGGAAAAAAAACTTAGAAACTATAGCATTTTTTCGATCGCATGGTGTTCTTTCAACCTCAGTAAAGTGTACTAAGAGCAAGATGGAATGTAAATATCGCAAAGACCAACATATGTGGCGTTGTGTAAGAATCCCAGAATGCAACGACGAACAAGAACCAGGCCAATAAGGAAAGAAATAGGTGATTCCATCATATGGTGAGAGTCAGTTAAGTTAGGTCAGGTTAGGTTAGGTTAGGTTAGGTTTGGTTATTGTTTTTCTAGTGTTTTATTGTGTATTTGTGAGTCGCTTAGGCCCTTTTTTTCTCGGAAAACGTCAAACGCAAAAGAAAACGCAAAAAAACCCGGCTAATTTCCACCAAAAAGGAAGGTCATATTCGGTCTCAGCACACACAAATACACTAGAAAAATATACTTTTAACTTGCTACAAGTGAACGGAGCTACAAGAAAATTTTACCGTCATAAGATCCTACTAATCCCCCACCCAACAGACCAGCACTGGGTGACCCAACGTTCCATCAGGTCAGATTACCGTAGTAACATCACCCAATAATCTCCCACCCAACCTTCATCACAAGTGTTAAGACATGATTAATTATGTATTACAGTCAATTGAGTGAAGTGTGTAACAGAGACGTGACCGATCGCCCAAGCGACAAAAGAGCCGATCAGTGGTGAAGAGGATAAACGTAACAGTTCTGTTCACGCCCGTATCATATAGATCTTTTTTCTTTTTTTTTTAATGTATTTATTTAACCAAACTTTAAGATAAAGTATGCAGGATTACTTTGATAAAAAAAATGAATGAAAATTAGAAATTAATAGATTTATAAATTGCAAGAAGTTGGATGGTCCATCATTATTTGTATTTTCTCATAAATACTGTACAGTGGGGTATGCTATAACGAATCTAATTGGTTCTAGAACCTTGTTCGTTATAGCATTCGTTCGTTATAGGATTAATCCGTTCCAGGCCCCCAAATACAACCACTTAACACTGAAAAATATAATATAAAATTGTAAAAATTGTAAAAAAGTGCATAAATATGCATCTAAACCCCAGAAGTAACCAATATCATTAATACTTGTAATAAATAAAAAAATAAATTAGTAAAAAAAAAAAAAATAAAATTTTTTTTAAATAATGTTCGTTGTAGGAGTTTCGTTCGTTATAGCATTCTCAATTTTATAGGTAAAACCGTTCGTTATAGGAATATTCGTAGTAGGATCCGTTCGTTATAGCATACCCCACTGTATACGTACGTATATTCATAAAGTTCCCTGAAAATCTCTTTATTTTATACCGTATTACTCGTTAATGAGTCATCCACCATGCCACAAGTTGACTTGTGTTTCATGAACTACGTATACACGTACGTGTCGGTATCTCAGCCATATGGACAGGACTGATTCACGTCAGCCTCCATTTGTATTTAGGGATTTTTCCAAAGCATTTATCCATCAATATTTGGGATGAACTGTGTGGGTATTAGAACTTATTGTATTGATTTTGTGTACATTAAAGTCTCGACTAACGATGGTTGTAGATGTAGTAAAATGAACGTAAAAAATACTGTATGTAGCTTTTATTTAATGTTATGTATTGTATGTACAGTAGAAGTGACCATGCAGTCACAGACATGCAGATGTGCTGGGTGTGTGTGAGTGGTGCTGGGTGTGTGTGAGTGGTGTTGGGGTGTGTGAGTAGTGTTGGAGGGTGTGTTTGTGTGTGAGGTGTAGGGGGGGTAGGGAGATGTGGTCAGTCCCCCCTTCCTCACCCACACACACACACACACACACACACACACACACACCCACACACACAACCACACACCCACACACACAACCACACACACAACCACACACATACACACACACACACACAACCACACACATACACACACACCCACACATAAAAACCCCTTCCTCCCCACACACACACACAACCCCCACCCCACACAGCCCCCACCACACACACACAACCCCCACACACACACACAACCCCCACACACACACACAACCCCCACACACTCACACACACACACAACCCCCCACACACACACACACCCCCCACACACACACACAGCCCCCCACACACACACACCCCCACACACACACACACAACCACACACACACACA